CACAGACAGAACAATCAAAACTAATCGACCAGACATCGGGATCAAAGACCAGAAAAACAGAATTTTTTTTATTGACATGGCAATTTCTGCAAATTCTAATGTATCTTTGAAGATCTTCAAATAACTGACACAACACAATAATCTTGAAGTGGAGATCTAAAATAGTGCTACATGATGACATCAATTTTGGGAGGACATCTTGTATTTCACGCACAGATATGTAAACACAGGTAGAGTAACGCATTACTAATGAGATATAATAATAATAATAATAATAATAATAATAATAGGCAAACCTCGTGTCCATCAGTAGTTACGTGGTGCAGGGTTAAAGGCTGAAACCGAAGGTTTTATTCTTGCTGAAACAATGCTTGCTAACTAGAAATTACCAAGCACACATACTGAAAACTTGTGCTAAAGCAAAATTCAAATTCTGTGATAAACATCCCGAAACAATCGACCATCTTGTATCAGGTTGCATGGTTTTAGCACCCACGGTATGTAAAAGTCTGCATGACACAGTGGGCCAATATCTGCACAGGGAAATATGCAACTTTTACGGGAAGGAGACTGCAAAAAAACTGGTATAAACCTCACCAAGACACAGTTACAGAGATAGGACCTTTTACAATTTAATGGTACTTTATAATAAACACAGACAAAACAATCAAATCTAATTGCTCGAACATCGTGATCAAAGACGACTAAAATAGAATGTGCTTTCTTATTGACATGACAGTCCCTGTAGATTGTAAGATCTTCAAAAATTATCAAAATACAAGGTTCTTAAAGAGGAAATCTCGTAAATGTGGCACATAAAGCCATCAACAATTCCAGTTGTAGTTGGAGCCCTCAGATTAATTGAAAACGGTTCCGATAGACTCATAGTAGGGATTTCTCGTAGGCCTTAAAGAAATACAAAAAATGTATACCCACAAGTAGAACTCACACATTAAAAAGAGATTTATCTATGTAAAATGTGTATGATCTTAGGGATTTTTTATGAGTGGGAAATAACATGACGTCGTTTTTTATCTTAGGTCTCTCAATCCGGAAGCAAATGTCTGCACAACGGGAATCAAGGGAAATAATTGTTTTGAAGACCAAGCTTCTATTGAGTAATGAATACAAACCAGACCTTCGTAAAAGATAAGAATGAAAGAAAGCCTATAACTTTTAGATCCAAACTAAACCCTCCATCAAAGAAGGAACATCTACTTTGATAGAATTTAAAACGAACAATGGCAGCTGTTAGATATCGGAAGCAGCCAGAAGTTTAAGACTAAATAAAGAATAAAAATTTAGAAAAATACTTTAATTCAGCCAGAATCTGAAAAATGTTAATATAAAGGTTATATGTGGCTGTATAGTAAGTGACTTGTTTGATTGTGTTGAAAAAAGAAAGTAAGAAAAGAATGCGACATGTCAGAGAGAACTTGTTAAACAAGATTCTCAGATTTATAGACAAAGTAAACTTTTTTTTTTCCTTCATTCATATTAGGAAGCAAGACTTGTAGACGTTGCCTACTGGAGTGGGTTGATTTTGATTCTTACTGGAGGCTCCACGCAAGTGCAGATGTGCCAGTTTAAACTTCTTTTATGTGCGGTGTCCTTCAGGACATAGGCGATCATGGCTCTCCATATCTTCCTGTCACTTTTATCTCTAAAGTTCTTTTTCTTTTTTTTCTTTCTCCCAAACCCTGTTCTGTCATCCACTTACTCAAGCCTATCAAGTATGTTACGCGCTGCTTTCCTCTGTCTCTCTTTCCCTCAATCTGTCCTGTGAGTATCAGATTTTCCACGTCCTCCTTCCTCGTTACGTGCCCAGAAATTTCAACTACATCTTCCTGGTGTTATATATAAGTTAAACTTTTGTTTCTATTTTATTCAAAACCTTGTTGTTGCTCACAAGTTCGGTCCATGCTATCCTCAGCATCTTTCTGTAGAACCATATTTCTGTTGTTTCAAGTCTCTTCTTCATCTTTGAGAAGACTGTTCTACATTCGCTGCCACGCAGCAGGAAAACTACCGTGAAAAGAGTTCAGTACCCTTTACTTTGTTTCTAACGATTTTTTTCTGTTTCTTGATATTCTGTTTAGTTTCTGGGTTGCACATTTGGCCATCCATATACATTTTCAGATCTCAGTGTCGCACTTCCCGTCCTATGTTTGAAGACTTCCCAGATATTTAAAATTCTGTACTTGTTTGATTTTAGTAACTCCGACCTGTAATTTGTATTTTGGGCTCATCCTTTTGCTGATAACCATGTATTCTGCCTTCTTGTAGTCTATGCTTAGTCCTTTCTTCTCGCTTTCCTTCGATACTTTCTTGTAGATTGCTTTCCGTTTCTGCTACCAACACCGTGTCATCTGCACACCTTATATTTTTAAGATTGTGGCCGCCAATAATGAACCCTGGTAGGATTTCTATTTCTCCCAGAATTTTCTCGCTATATATGTTGAATGTATCTGGTGAGACGACAAATCCTTGTCTTTCACCCCTTTCGATTTTTGTATATCAGTTGAACTTATTTATCAGACAAGATCACATTTTAAAGTAAGCTTTATAAAGAAACAAAAATCAAAAGAATAGATGTCTTTACGTCAGGTTTACCAAGAAAAAAAGATAATGAGCTCAGCGTTACTGTATCATGTTCCACCCGAAATGTGCTTAACGCCTTCAGACCGATTTATGTACGCTTAGAAAATATTAACAAGTCGACGTCTCCTGACAACGCGCAAATGACTGGCTAATTAGGCAATTCAAAAGACGCCATTTTACAAGTTCGAAAGTGTAAAATGTTGAAATAGAACAATTTAAATTTGTTCGATTTTCCGATTTTTATTCCTTCTTTCATTGTATCTTTTCACTTAAGCATTCATTTTACTGTGGACCAGAAATTCTAGAGGAAATTCTATCGATAGAGATTCGGCCCCATTTACGTTTTGCCTCATAGTTCATTTAAATGACTCCGCGGAGAAAACGTCTCGCAGAACATCAAATTTAACCAATAAATCCACCATACATTTTCAGTATTTCTTAACGAAACTGTTATTTTGTTTACCACGCATATCATTACCAGTCGCAGTGTTATCTATTTTTTTTTAATTAAATGAAGCAGCATAAATTATTACTATTAATTTTCACGAGAATTTACTTTCCTTCTACTTTTTATTAAACGAAGTATTGTCAACACCCTTAATTATTAATTCTAATTAATATTTAATTTTATCTTCAATGTTTAGTAGTTGAAGAATTGTCAATCATTATTAATTATTATTTTCATCACCATTTTTAGTAATTGAAGTGGTTTCAATCATAATTATTCATTATCAACATGTATTTTCTTTCATCTTAATTTTTATTAGAGTAGGTGTTATTAACCATTATTATTTGTTTTTGAACAGTATTTAATTTAATCTTAATTATTAAATGGTGTGTTCTAAAACATTATTATTAATTTTGACTAATATTTCTTTAAAGCTTTATTTTTATTAAATGAGACATCATTATACATTATTAATTTTAATATGTAATTTCATGTTAGTTTTTCTGATAAAACGAGTTCATGACTTCAGATTATTTTAGGACTTATTTATTTATATCTTTTCTACTCGAGAGAGTGTTGGCAACAATTTGCTAGTATTTACATTCATCTTTATTTTTATTAGACGAAGCATTGTCAAACATTATTGTTAAGTTTTACGAATATTTACATTCACCTTTATTGTTATTAGATGAAGCATTGTCAAACATTATTGTTAATTTTTACTAATATATACATTCACCTTTATTGTTATTAGATGAAGCATTGTCAAACATTATTTTTAATTTTTACTAATATTTGCTTTCATCTTGTTATTGTTTAATTTTACTAATATTTACTTTCATCTTGTTATTAGACGTAGCATTCCAACCACCTGAAGAAGGCCGTAGCGTACAACGGCTGAAGCGTTTTAATAAATATGGCGAAAAAGATGAAGGCAATAGTCCGAATAATGTCAAATCAAATAGTCAAATCAGCTGCATAAAGAAAATGTTGACGTTTACCAGCTTTGCAACGGTTTTCACAGTATTTTCCCCATTACATGTTCTATCGCAAGTCTATGTAATCCGCGACGTACACTGCAGTGAGGATACTGATTTTTTTGCTATCATTATTTGTTTTCCCCAAAAATCTCTACAGTTCAACCCCTTAATCCAAATTGTGCAAGCTGACAACGGTACGTTGTGGTAAATGATGTTGCAAGTATTAGAGGTTGGATACGTGTCGGAATCGAAAGAAGAATTAAAACCAAGTGTGACGTGCGTGTATAAAGAACTTATGTGTAAAATGGAAGTGTGGGCGAAAAGAGAGAAAATAGTGAAAGAAAGGGGACTTAAACTAAAACAAGAAGAGAGACAAAAAAAAGAAGAATGAAAAATAAAGAAGGTCGGAGGAGGTCAGCTGGCGGAAAGTGCTAAGCTAAACAAAAGAACGGGTCGAATGACATTTGAGAAAAAAGAGAAGAGAAAGAAAAAAGAAATTGAAGAAGCGGGTTCAGAGAGACAAAAACAAGGGAGGGAATCCATCCGAGAAAGAAATAATAACGATTTTATAAGCAGGAAGAATCGAAAGGGTCAGTCAGAGAAAGACATAAGGAAAGATGAAGAATTTTAGAGAAAATAAAAGACATCCAGATGGATGTAAAGGAAAAAGAAACAGAGAGAACAGTAGTAGATTTGTTGAATCACTGATAATGTGTCTACGGTTTATCAACCCGTTGCAAGGTTATTTAAAGCCAAAAAATATTTTTAGATTGAAATTTTTTTTTTTAGCTAACGATGTTTAAGTATTACAAGTTTTACTAATTAACCAATTGTTTCGGCCAAAAGAGGTGGATTCATACCTTCGTCAGGAGCATTTGCGTGTATGCAAATATGACAAACCCAACTCGAAACTCTGCTCTCTGATTAACAATTCCGAGATATTATCGATTACAACACGTGCACATTCAAATTTACAGCACCTGGTATTCACAAACGGTCATCTATCTAGGTACTGACCAAGCTCGACGTTGCTTAACTTCGGTGATCGAACGGGAAATGCATAAAACAGAACAAGAGAGAAAATGTAATGAAATAAAAGATGGCGAAGAGAACAAGTGAAGACTTTAAAGAAAGAGAAAAAAATAATTAGACAAAATTATTGAATAATAAAACGAAAGAACCAAACAAAAGGAAAAATACAAATTTAAAATAAAAATGAAAAAGTAATAAAAATAAACTAATTAATTAATTAAAAGATAAATTAACCCTTTGAACCCTGCGTTGCTGAACAATTGTAACCCTTCTGCCTGAGCTCCTGAGTCAAAATTCGCAAACAATTGGTATGTAATGTTTCACGGTAGATATAAAAATAGGTACAAATAAATATAACTTCTTGATTACTTCCCTGATAGTCCAGGTTGAGACTCTGCGCGGATTATGTTAAAAAGGATCTTTTTTATTCAAAACAAATGAAAAAAAAGACAATGAAAATGCGTTGATATAACGTTCGATGACCTCAGAATATTACGGCTTTTCTGATTGGTTCTTCAAAATAAGACAACCAATAGCAAAACACGATGCAAGTGTTTACCCACCGTTCAACCGCTGTCTTGGCTTTAAGTCATTTTTCTCGATCACCAATAAAGCGGTGGTCAGAACTCAAAGTGTTAAGAAAGAAAGAAAGAAACAAAGAAAGAAAGACTAATTAACAGCTGGACAATAAGAAAAAAGTAAAAAATAATAAGAACTAAGTGAACGGTGTCTGCATACGCCACAAAGAAAAACGGAAGAAAGAAAAACTAAAGATTGAAATCAATGATGACATAAATCAATAGAGACAAGTATTTTGAAAGAAAGAAAGAAAAAAAAAGAAAGAAAATTAAAAGAAAGAAAGAATATTTCGAAGCAAAATGGCGTGCCAGAAAAGAGACAAGTAAAGGAACAAAATCAAATGAGATTGAAAAGAAAAAACGTATAGAAAGCAAAAGAAAATAAAGAAAAAACGTAGAACAAATCAAATATCAATCATAATCCGTATTATCAGGCGCGAAACGTCGGAACACGAAGTGTGTTGAGGGAACATCTAAAAACGTATACCTCCATTCTTCCGCGCCCAATTTCACTTAACTGACCAATTTCCTCGCCTCCAGTTTGTATGATCCATCGGCTTTAGCAAAATCAACCTACGCCAAGTAAATCGAGACTAACAAACGCCAAGGCGTCTTGATTAGCCTATGTGGATAACTTAGTTTCCGTCTAGGATAGACATTGTAAAGCGTACGCCGTGATGAGAAACAAACATGGCTGCCAATAATAGCGGGGGTGGGGGGAATGAACGACTGTGAACAAGGAGAACTTTGATTGCATTAACGTGGGTCACACATCCACCACTATTGCATTTAGTGAACTGGCTGTTGGGTGGCGGTTGGTTGACTGCTGAGACAGTTCAGCTGTCAGACGACCGGCCTATAAACAAATAAATCTGATTGGCGGATGAACAGACAGATGCAGAAACTGTAGGACAGACATCTTGGTGGCAAGAATTTGTTTTCATTTTTTTCCCCGGGAGATTTTTTTTTTCTCCCTTTTTAAATTTTTTTTTTTTTTCATTATTTTTTGTTCCTTCTTTTTATAATCTCGTTGTAATCTTTTGATTTTCCGTCACGACGTTTCTTTCTCCCAAATCTTCTTTCAATTCTGTCTTGCTTTTGATTTGTTTTTCTTTCTTTTTTTCCTTTCTTCTTTCTTTTTTCTTTCTTTCTTTCTTCTTTCTTTTTTCTTTCTTTTTTCTTTTTTTTCTTTCTTTCTTTTTTTCCTTTTTTCTTTCTTTCTTTCTTTCATTTTTTGCTCCTTCTTTTTATAATCTCGTAATTTTTTCATTTTTCGTCACGACGTTTCTTTCTTCCAAATCTTCTTTCAATTCTGTCTTGGTTTTGATTTGTTTTTCTTTCTTTTTTTTTTCTTTTTTTCTTTCTTTTTTCTTTTTTTTCTTTCTTTCTTTTTTCCTTTTTTCTTTCTTTCTTTTTTCTTTCTTTTTTCTTTTTTTTCTTTCTTTCTTTTTTCCTTTTTTCTTTCTTTCTTTCTTTCATTTTTTGTTCCTTCTTTTTATAATCTCGTTGTAATTTTTTCATTTTTCGTCACGACGTTTCTTTCTTCCAAATCTTCTTTCAATTCTGTTATGCTTTTGGTCTATTTTTCTTTTTTTCTTTTTTTCTTTTTCTTTCTTTCTTTTTTCCTTTTTTTCTTCCTTCCTTTACTTCTTTCTTTCTTTCTTTGTCTCTCTCTTTCTTTCTCTCTTTCTTTCTTTCTCTCTTTCTTTCTTTCTCTCTTTCTTTCTTTCTCTCTTAAATATGTTTTAGCTTCTTTTGATTTATTCTTCAGATTTGTTATTCTTCCTGTCTGTTCTTTCTTCATTTTTGTTCCAAATAATTTATTTTCTTCGGTCTTATAATTTGGTATACTTTCATTTCCTTTTTTTGTCTTGCCATCATTCGTTCGTTCTTTCTTTCTTTATTTATTTATTTCTTAATATATTTTCTCCTTGCTTTTGTTTTTTTTCTTCAGATTTGTTAGCACTTCTTTTATATATCTTCATTTTTTTTCTATTTTTTTTCTATCATGCATAATTTCCTTTTTTTTCTGTATTAGGGTTTCTTACCCTTTCCCTTCATTTCCTTTCCTTTCTTTCACCGTTTCTTTTTTATCTTTCTTCATTCTTTCTTTCTTTGTTATGGTTACTTATTTTACACCCTTTACATTTTTCCCACCTATAGACTATATATTCTCTTACTTCAACTTCCCTTCTCTCTCTCTCTCTCTCTCTCTCTCACTCTCTCTCTCTCTTTCAAATAGCGTCATGGGTATGGCGATAAATTGCATCCGGTAGCAAGGCCTCTGATCGGGAGGTTTTGGGTAGCGTGGAACTAAATTGACCTTGACTCAGAGGAGTAGTACCTGCTAGCGTCCCACCTATGGGCAAATAGTTAACGCCCAAACTATGATTAAAACTCTTCTTTAAAATATTATATCTAACCTAATAATTGCTTTATATTTATTTTCCCTCCTTCAAATAAATTCTGCAACATCGAGCCTAGTCAGCACCGAAATGGCTGACTGCTTGGGAATACCAGGTGCTGTAAGCTTGGGTGTGCAGGTGGTGTAATGGATAACGGCTAGGATTTGAACCTCGGAGAAGCAAGTTCCAATTCCAGTCGAGTTTGTTACATTTACCTATGCGCAAATACCCTCTTCCCCCATCCAGTCCTACTAATAAACTGCTACTATGGGTTAATTAGTAGGATTTGCGCCAATAAGTCATTATTATCCCACACAAAAAAAAATCTTAAAAACTAAAAATGTTTTCTGGCTCTAAATAACCTTCACAGGATTGTTAAACCATAAAAAACAAATCAGTCATAACAAGCATAATTAAATTCTTTCTTTCAATATTTTAGTCTAGCTCCTTCTTTCATTCTCTCCCTCCCTTTCGTTCTCAGTCTTCTCGTTCTTTTTCTTTTACCTTCTCTCTTTTTATTTTTGTCTCTCTTTCTTCTTTTTTCCCTTGGTTTACTCTCTCTCTCTCTCTCTCTCTCTCTCACTCACTCACTCACTCACTCACACACACACACACACACACACACACACACACACACACACAATCGGTTTCTAGCTCTCTTTCTCCTTTTATCTCTCCCCCTCTCTATATTTCGGTTTCTCGCTTTCTTTCACTTTCTCGCTCACTCTTCTTATATTTTCTTTTCCTTCTCTTTACCTGTGTTTTGATTCGTTCCGATCAGCCTTTTGGTTCTTGACCTCGATCTTTCCCGCCCTCTTTCTTTCACCTTCTCTCTCTCTCTCTATCTTTACCTCTCTCTTTCTCTTCCTTTTTCCTTTATTTTCCTTTATCTTCCTTTCTCTCGCTTTCCCTCTCTCTGTACCTAGCTCTCTTTAACTTTCTCGCTCGCTCTCTCTCTCTTTATCTTTATCCTTTCCTTCTCTTTACACGCGTTTTGATTCGTTCCGATCATCCCTTTTGTTCTCGATCTTTCCCGCCCTCTTTCTTTCGCCTTCTCTCTTTCTCTCTCTTCTTCTTTCACCTTTTCGTTCTCTCGCTCTGTCTGTCTGTCTGTCTCTCTCTCTCTCTGTTTATAGCTCTCTTTCTCGCTATCTGTTATTATCTTTGCCTTTCCTTCTCTTCAACCACGCTTTGATTCGTTCTTTTCATTCTCTATTTCGATCTTTCAAGGCCCCTTTCTTTCCCCTTTTCTCTTTTTCTCTTCCTTCCCCACTCTCTTTTCTCTTCCTTCTCCCCCCTCTCTTTCTCATTATATTTTTCTTTCCTTTTCTTCACCTGTGTTTTGATTCGTTTCGCTCATCCCTAAGGTCGGTTTATTTCCATAGCCTTCCGACGTATACCAAAAGAGAGGTTATCTCTACACAAAATTTACTCATTTTCTCTTTTCGCTTTTCACTATTTCTTTTTTTTCTGATAGATTTTTTTTCTTCTCTTTTTTTCTTCTGTTGCCTCCTCTTCGAAATTTCTCCTCTATTAAGAAAGATTTTCAATCTCTTGACATTTAAATCTTTACCCATCCCCACATCTCAGACAGCTCTCAACTTATAACTTTCACGCATAATCAATTGTAACGAATAGGTCGTGAGGATTCATAAATTATCTTTTCTATATGCATCAACCCTTTTTACATGACTTGCAAAGATCTGAATATTTGGTCTGCATGTTCTTCTTCGTCAAGAGCATTCAAAAAATGTTCGCGGTTTCTTTTTCTATAAAATAATTCATTCACCTTATATGTATAACGATTATGTTTTTCAAACCATGCGTACGGCCGTATCACGTTGAAACATTGGTTCCCGTACGATCACCGATCTTAAGCATCGACAAGCCTGGTCAGTACCTAGATGGGTGACCGTTTAAAAATACCGGTTGCTGCAAGAAGGTAAAACATATTTAAGAGAGAAAGAAAGAATGAGAGAAAGAAAGAGAGAGACAAAGAAAGAAAAAAGTAAAGGAAGAAAGAAAAAAGAAAAAAAGAAAAAAGAAAGAAAGAAAAATAAACCAAAAGCAAGACAGAATTGAAAGAAGATTTGGAAGAAAGAAACGTCGTGACGAAAAATGAAAAAATTACGAGATTATAAAAAGAAGGGACAAAAAATGAAAGAAAGAAAGAAAGAAAGAAAAAAGGAAAAAAAGAAAGAAAGAAAAAAAAGAAAAAAAGAAAGAAAGAAGAAATAAAGAAAAAAGGAAAAAAGAAAGAAAAACAAAGCAAGACAGAATTGAAAGAAGATTTGGAAGAAAGAAACGTCGTGACGGAAAATGAAAAGATTACAACGAGATTATAAAAAGAAGGAACAAAAAATGAAAGAAAGAAAGAAAGAAAGAAAAAAGGAAAAAAAGAAAGAAAAGAAAAAAAAAAAAAAAAAAGAAAGAAGAAATAAAAAAAAAAAAAAAAAAAGAAAAACAAAGCAAGACAGAATTGAAAGAAGATTTGGAAGAAAGAAACGTCGTGACGGAAAATGAAAAGATTACAACGAGATTATAAAAAGAAGGAACAAAAATGCGGGTAGTGTAATGGATAATGGCTTACACCTTACTCTATTTATCGTGTCTCAGTTGCGTCTCTGTCTTTGGACAGGGTGCGCTCAGGGGCTTCTCCGTCAAAGGACAGAGCCAACTGAGAAAATTATACTGAGGTGCCCAGCCCTGGGGAACAGCTACCCCGCGCCCTCCCATTGCCCCAGACGGAAGGATCGGTGCTCGCACCGAGGCCAGCGCGACCGACAAACACTGTAATGAATAATGGCTTGGTATTGGTAATCAGAGATCCTAGTTCTAATTCCAATTAGTTTAGGATCAGAATGTATTATCTGCCTAATTCCCTGGATCTTCTAAGCTAAAATAAGCAAAGCTTCCTGACTGATAATCTATGCTATTTTTTATGCTTTCTTCTATGTCATACTGTTTTTTTGTTTTTTGTTTTTTTTTACCTAGGATCAAAGTGTTTTATCTGTCCAATCCCACTTGACCTTTTCAGTTGCAATCAGCTATCCTTTCTGCGAATCTATACTATTATTTCTTTGTTTGCTTGGTTATTAAGTTTTTCTACTTATGATCAAGGTGTTGTAGCTGTTCAGTACTCTGGCTCTTCAAAGCTGGTATCACTTATGCATTCTGACTGAGAATCATTATTATTATTCTCATTTTTTGTATGTATGACTCATGCTTTTCACCTCAGTATAGTATCTACTCACACCCTTGTACTTTCTGGGTCGGGATCAAGTTTAACTTCTGAGCAAGGACTTGTACTAGTTTTCTGTTTGTTTACATGCATGTTTATTGTACTTTTCTATCTAGGATCAAAGTGTAGTATCTGTCAAATCCTTCGGAGTTGGAATCTATTATGCTTTCTCACTTCAAATCTATACTATTTGTCTACTTGTTTCTATATATTACTGTTGTGCTTTTCTATCTAATATCAGAGTGTAGTATCTGTCAAATCCCGTCGTCCTTCTGGGTTGGAATCTGTTATGCTTTGTTACTGCGAATCTATACTATTTTTCTACTTGTTTCTATGTATTACTGTTGTCTTTTTCTACCTAAGATCACAGTGTAGTATCTGTCAAATCATGCTTTCTGTATAAGAAACTCTATTATTATTCTGCTTCTTGGGTTATGGCTGAACTCTCCTTGACTGGATGACAGTTATGTCTACATTTCCTATCTACACTGCTGGTCAACAGATAGATTTTGGTGGGTAAGAAGTGGATTCAACAAGAGCCTTTGTTCGCCTTTGTACTCCACCAGTCGGTTGCACTTAAAGTGCTGATAACCGCTACACTTCAGCCCTTTAAAAATGACATCAGTCTTTCCGCAATATGGTCGTTTTATTGATTTGCTCACTAACTATATTGATTTCTTCAGTAACTACAATCTCGTACCGATGTCGTAATTTGAGATTTGTCTTAGTTCATCTTAAAGTTTCCCTGGGTAGAATGAAATCAATACAAATTGATTTCAAGCACGCCACCCGACAATTTTCGATTGTATCCTCAAAATACATGTTTATCTATTTCGAAATGGTCGTACTTAAAGGGATTTCTCGAATTAGCTTGAATATTTGTATATATTCAGTTCGTATGTAATATACCATTCCCTCTGAAATAGTCTTTTAGCAGCTTTCATTTTTGGTTGTAAAGGAAGTCTTTTCGCATTCTCTATAGGATCACTTTGACACTACTTTTCCCCATACCGACTGTAAAATAACCCTTAACGTTTACGACCTTGGGTCTTTTCGCTTCTTTTCCGATTATTTAATATAAGACTGAGTAAATATCTTATCCATTTTTAACCTTTTTAGATGAGTTTAGACACTGTATGCTGTATGAAGACAAACGGTCTCTTTAGCAACGGAAGGAGTAAAATATTCATTCTGTCCATGGAAAGGAAGTTTTAAGTAATCGAGCATGCCAACGGTGTTTTCTCTAGTTTTGTTGTCGAATAAAGTGTCATGGTTGATATCAGACGTCTACGACCCCATGTCGTGTCCCAGTTTGTGTTAGTTCGAAACATTGTACTAAGCTCGAGGTGGCCATTATTTTCTGTCGCCGGGACAGTTAATTTCTTCGAGATGGCATGCGAGGTGGATTTGTTTTTGAGACGACCTTCTAGACTTTGCGTAAAGAGGCAGGTTATACAAGGCAGCAGTTGGTTTGAATTCAGAGTTTTCCTTTTCCTAGACTGGTTACCAACCAAGGCTATAGGGTTGAGTCTATCCTGCTATTTAAATATAGCTGAGGGTTGTGGTTGGTTGGGTTGGGTTGTTTTACGGCATATCAGCCTCAATGAGTTATTTCATGCCAAGAAGATTTTTTATTGCTGGTAATTTTTTTTTTTCAGAAATGTGTTGCTGGTAATATTTTTCTTCAAAAATTTATTTAATTTTTTTTACAAAATATTCCTGGTATTAAAACCTATTTTTACACTTTCATAGTGTTTTGACACCAGTTTGGAGGTTAAATATTTACCTATAGCTGGGACCCTAACAGGTACTACCACCCAGGGTCAGAGTGGACCTGGGAACACCAGGAATTAAGAGGTAGTTCCACGCTACTCAAAACCTCCTGATCAGGGGCCTTGCTGTTGGATGTAGTTTATCGTCTTACCCAGGATGCGGATGTAGTTTATCGTCATACCCAGGATACGGATGTAGTTTATCGTCATACGCAGGACGGTATAGCTGAGGGGAGAGGAGATGGTTTCATAACTTTCCCAATGGTATTAGCACGTAAATGTCTGCAATGGACTAAACTGGAACTCGAACTCGGGCCTCCGATTCCTTAATCCGAGCCGCTATCCATGACACCACCACGCCTATATTATTCACTTTAGATCTGGAAACTATTCTCTCAAACATTCTCATCGGTCGAGGCAACCAATTTCTGTCAATACTGAGATACCGCAGACGGTAGGGTAGAAGTTACTCTTCGCGTATACATAAAACGTGCGAATTTTGAGTGATTGATTTATTGACTGATGATTAATAGTAGTTTTATCTACCCTTGTCTCCGCACTGAGGCAGGATGGAAAACATGGTCGGGTTTAGCGAGTGCCAAGTACAAATATTGCTAAGCCCCTGCAACCGTCGGTTGAGCTGGCCTTCTTAGGACTAACGTTGCGTCCTCTTTGGTGCGATGGAAAGGTGCTGTTGCCCGGGAATGGGCACCACTCGGTATGTTTTTTTTTTTTACATAGATACGTGACTGTCCGCGGACAAAGACACAATTGAGCCTCACTGCCCGAGAACAGAGACGCAGCTGACCAGCCCTCTGCCCGAGAATAGAGACGCAAATGAGCCGAACACTGTCCGAGGACAGAGACGGAGCAGACCAGCCCTCTGCCCGAGAATAGAGACGCAATTGTGCCGCACACTGTCCGAGGACAGAGACGGAGCTGACCAGCACTCTGCCCGAGAATAGAGACGCAACTGTGCCGCACACTGTCTGAGGACAGAGACGCAACTGACCAGCACTCTGCCCGAGAATAGAGACGCAACTGTGCCGCACACTGTCCGAGGACAGAGACGCAACTGACCAGCCCTCTGCCCGAGAATAGAGACGCAACTGTGCCGCACACTGTCCGAGGACACAGATGCAACTGACCAGCACTCTGCCCGAGAATAGAGACGCAACTGTGCCGCACACTGTCCGAGGAGAGACGCAGCTGACCACCCTTCTGCCCGAGAATAGAGACGCAACTGTGCCGCACACTGTCCGAGGACAGAGACGCAGCTGACCAGCACTCTGCCCGAGAATAGAGACGCAAATGTGCCGCACACTGTCTGAGGACAGAGACACAACTGACCAGCCTTCTGCCCGAGAATAGAGACGCAAATGTGCCGCATACTGTCCGAGGACACAGACGCAGCTGACCAGCCCTCTGCCCGAGAATAGAGACGCAACTGTGCCGCATACTGTCCGAGGACACAGACGCAGCTGACCAGCACTCTGCCCGAGAGTAGAGACGCAAATGTGCCGCACACTGTCCGAGGACACAGACGCAGCTGACCAGCACTCTGCCCGAGAATAGAGACGCAACTGTGCCGCACACAGTCTGAGGACAGAGACGCAACTGACCAGCACTCTGCCCGAGAATAGAGACGCAACAGTGCCGCACACTGTCCGAGGACAGAGACGCAGCTGACCAGCCCTCTGCCCGAGAATAGAGACGCAACTGTGCCGCACACTGTCTGAGGACAGAGACGCAACTGACTAGCACACTGCCCGAGAATAGAGACGCAACTGTGCCGCACACTGTCCGAGGAAAGAGACGCAACTGACCAGCACTCGGCCCGAGAATAGAGACGCAACTGTGCCGCACACTGTCCGAGGACAGAGACGCAGCTGACCAGCACTCGGCCCGAGAATAGAGACGCAACTGTGCCGCACACTGTCTGAGGACAGAGACGCAACTGACCAGCACTCTGCTCGAGAATAGAAACGCAACTGTGCCGCACACTGTCCGGGGACAGAGACGCAGCTGACCAGCACCCTGCCCGAGAATAGAGACGCAACTGTGCCGCACACTGTCTGAGGACAGAGACGCAGCTGACCAGCCCTCTTTCCGAGAATATGACGCAACTGTGCCGCACACTGTCCGAGGACAGAGACGCAGCTGACCAGCACACTGCCCGAGTATAGAGACGCAACTGTGCCGCACACTGTCCGAGGACAGAGACGCAGCTGACCAGCACTCTGCCCGAGAATAGAGACGCAAATGTACCGCACACTGTCCGAGGACAGAGACGCAGATGACCAGCACTCGGCCCGAGAATAGAGACGCAAATGTGCCGCACACTGGCCGAGGACAGAGACGCAGCTGACCAGCACACTGCCCGAGAATAGAGACGCAAATGTGCTGCACACTGTCCGAGGACAGAGACGCAGCTGACCAGCCCTCTGCCCGAGAATAGAGACGCAACTGTGCCGCACACTGTCCGAGGACAGAGACGCAGCTGACCAGCCCTCTGCCCGAGAATAGAGACGCAACTGTGCCGCACACTGTCCGAGGACAGAGACGCAGCTGACCAGCACACTGCCCGAGAATAGAGACGCAACTGTGCCGCACGCTGTCCGAGGACAGAGACGCACCTGACCAGCACTCTGCCCGAGAATAGAGACGCAACTGTGCCGCACACTGTCCGAGGACAGAGACGCAGCTGACCAGCACTCGGCCCGAGAATAGAGACGCAACTGTGCCGCACACTGTCCGAGGACAGAGACGCAGCTGACCAGCACTCGGTCCTAGAATAGAGACGCAACTGTGCCGCACACTGTCCGAGGACAGAGACGCAGCTGACCAGCACTCGGCCCGAGAATAGAAACGCAACTGTGCCGCACACTGTCCGAGGACAGAGACGCTGCTGACCAGCACCCTGCCCGAGAATAGAGACGCAACTGTGCCGCACACTGTCTGAGGACAGAGACGCAGCTGACCAGCCCTCTGCCCGCGAATAGAGACGCAACTGTGCCGCACACTGTCCGAGGACAGAGACGCAGCTGACCAGCACACTGCCCGAGAATAGAGACGCCACTGTGCCGCACACCGTCCGAGGACAGAGACGCAGCTGACCAGCACTCTGCCCGAGAATAGAGACGCAACTGTGCCGCACACTGTCTGAGGACAGAGACGCAGCTGACCAGCACTCGGCCCGAGAATAGAGACGCAAATGTGCCGCACACTGTCCGAGGACAGAGACGCTGCTGACCAGCACACTGCCCGAGAATAGAGACGCAAATGTGCTGCACACTGTCCGATGACAGAGACGCAGCTGACCAGCACTCTGCCCGATAATAGAGACGTAAATGTGCCGCACACTGTCCGAGGACAGAGACGCAGCTGACTAGCCCTCTGCCCGAGAATAGAGACGTAAATGTGCCGCACACTGTCCGAGGACAGAGACGCAGCTGACCAGCCCTCTGCCCGAGAATAGAGACGCAACTGTGCCGCACACTCTCCGAGGACAGAGACACAACTGAAAGATGATTACACTACCTGGCATATGCCAGGTAAGTTAAAAACGAGTTTTTACAGTATTATCTCAAATTATATCTTTAATGGATGTCAGCTATGAGTTATCTCCTGTTAATTCACCTCTCCAAGTTTTCCACCGCCTTAACCAGGTATTGATCTCACACTCTTTGGGTCCTGTCACTGGATCTGACTAACGCCTTTATCTACTGCGCCACGTGTCCTTAAGGTGATAACTGATAACTGACATCTATTAAACATGGCACGTGGAACTAGAACAGTCTAACCCAGTGAGCGAAATAAAGGGTTCAGTTCAACATTCCAACCACCTGAAGAAGGCCGGAGCATACCACAGCCGAAACGTGGTACATCATCTCAGAAATATAGACAGATACAGGTGGACTGATATTACATAAGAATCCATTACCCTCATACTTTGTTTCTATCGAATTTTCTCTTCTTTATGGTATTTCTTTTAAATTTTAGGAAAGGTATCTGATGACCAATCAGATTTTGGTGACTCATTTTCTGTACACCGTTAAAATACTTACTTATCGACTGTGCCATGTGTTGTTTGAGGACATGGCACGTGGAATTAGAACAGTCTAACCCAGCTAGCGAAATAAAGGATTCAGTTCAACATTCCAACCACCTGAAGAAGGCCGGAGCATACAACAGCCGAAACGTAGTAATAAATATGGCGACAAAGATGAGCACAATTGTCCGAATAATGTAAACAGTATAAAGTCGTTTGTTCGAATTTTGGCTTCACCAGAACCGTCAAATCTATTCTTCATTTCAGATTACTGAAAAATCCAAAAAATTAAAGGGAGATAATTTTGATATATGAAGGATACTTTTCTGGTATTATGTCATTTTCCACTGAACATCTGTGAAAAAAAAAAATATATATATACACAACCAGTAATGGCGATGGGGTTTGTCTAGCTTGTTTGGTACGGACTGAGTATTGACCATAAAAAGGTTGATCTTGGTATCGTTTTCATCATTTTGTCCGTTGCATTTACTATCTGCATTATTTTCAAATATTATTTTTATTAATATTATTATATTAATTATTATTTTTATTATTGTTATTATTGATTCATTTTCTTTTTTGTTCTATACTTTTTTTCCTTCGGGGTCCCAACCAGAGACCTAAGATTAGGAAAGGCTTCATGACATTTTCCAGGGAATATTTTTTAAAAAAAAAAAAAAAGACTAAAAACTAAGATTACAGATATTTTACATAGATAAAGCACTTAGTGATGTATGAACTGTAATTGTGAGTACAATTGTTTGTATTTCTTTAAGGAATAGGCTACCAGGGATTCTATTGGAAAGACTTTCAACTCAAACCGTTGGTTCTAACTACTATTGGAATTATTGATGCCTTCATGTGCACCATTTTTGTAATTTTCACTTCAAGATGCTTGTATTTTGATAGTTGTTTTGAAGATCTTCAAAGATACATTACAATCTGCAGGAAATGCCACCTCAATAAAAAGCACCTTCTGTGTTTGTGGTCTTTGATTACAATATCTGGTCGATTAGCTTTCATTGTTCTGTGTGTAAAAAAAAAAAATTGTTTTAAGTCCTATGTCTATAACCGGGGTGTTCATAGCAGTTTCTTGCAGTTTCCTTCCAGTCAAGGTTGCAGAATTTTCATTGCAGATATTGTCCCACTCTGACATGCCGTCTTTTATATTCAGTGGATGCTAGTACCGTGCAACCTGATACAAAATGACCAATTGTTTCTGGATATTTACCAATAGATCAAAATTTCGGATAACAACAATTTTTCTGTATGTGTGCTTGGCAATTTCTAGTTAGCAACTATTGGTCCTATGCAGCAAGAATAAAACCTCTGGTTTCATCTTCTTCTTCTTCTTCTTCTTCTTATTATTATTATTATTATTATTATTATTAATGTTCTTTTTCCTTTGGTTCCCTGGTGTATACTCATTTATTTCCGGGTCCCGACCAGAGACCTAAGCTCAGATATGGCATCATGACATTTTCCACTGAGCAGTTTTGAGACAAAAATGTATTATTATTATTATTATTATTATTATTATTATTATTATTATTATTATTTGTGTATGTTATGTTTCATTCTTTGTATCCCGTAGAGCCGGGTCCAAACTAGAGGGAAATTTTCCTTTTAATTGATAACACTTTTCTTAGTATATGGCATATTCCTAGTAGGGCGATCGTCTGGGTGACTTGTATGTTGATGTGATCTGGGACACTTAGTAAAACTGTCCATTGCTTTTCTTTCAAGGCCCAGAGCTGCAAATACTACTGTTAAAGTCTCTGACTTCATTCCCTACATTCTGTTAATCTCTATCTCCAGATCCTTGTATTAGGACAATTTCTCGATAATACTGTTTTGTCAATAAGCATACACTTACTGAATTTCTTGTCTTTTAAGATAATGTCAGGTCTGTTGGCTTTTATTTCCCTGTCAGTTGTAATTGGTATGTCCCAGAGAATAGTTACATCGTTATTTTGGGTAATTGAATCTGGTTGGTGTTCATACCATCTCTCAGTGGTTTCGATTTTGTGCTTCTTGCATATCTTCCAGTTCACATATGTCTCTACCTTGTTATGTCTGAGGGTATATTCATTTTTGCTAGTTCCGGACATCTTAAGATATTATGATTGGCAGTTTCGTCATATTTTCCGCAGATCTTGCATTTTGGGCTAGTTCCATCCTTGATTATGTGACAGTGATAGAATCTGGTGGTGAGGTTTTGGTCCCGCGCTACAATAATTAGGCTTTATGTCTCAGTTTCAACCCGGTACTCCTCCGGCACTCGTGTTGTGAGTCTCCTTGTTTGCTTTACGAACTGTCTCCAAGTTTCAACCAGAAACCGCAAGAGACTGCGTATCAACAGGTCACGATTGTTGGTACAATTGTTTGGCTATGTAATTGAGATGTGTATAGTTGTTTAAACTTTTATTATTTCCATTCGTTGGTGGTCTTCAAGTGAGCTTCTTCGTTCTCCAAATTTGGCCATTTGTTTCTGGATATTCGTCACAGAATCTACATTTCGGGTTAACACAGTTTTTTCAGTATGTGTGCTTTGTAATTTCTAGTGAGCAAGCATTGGTCCTGTGCAGCAAGAATAAAAACTTCCGTTTCAGCCTTTTACGTAGCCACAGATAGGTACGGGGTTTGTTTACATCAGTTTGTTTGGTACGGACAGAGTATTAACTATAGAGAAGCTTATCTTGCTATCGTTTTTGATTTTGGTACATTGTATTTACGTTTCTTTTCTTTTTTAGGTACTTTGCTGCTGTAGTTGGTGTATTATACTTTAGTTCCATTTATTCACCGATCAGAAACTCCATTTTGAATTTGTTTGCTTCCTTTATTACTGAATAAAGTTTCTCGTTTCTCCCATGTTTTTTGACACAGATCACCATCCAGTCTCCAATAGTTCCAATGTATCTTTGAAGACCGATTTATGTGGTTTTGAAAACCATGCAACCTGATACAAGATGGTCAATTGTTTCTGGATATTCATCACAGAATCTGAATTTTAGTCTAACACAATTTTTGCAGTATGTGTGCGTAATAATTTCTAGTTAGCAACCGTTGTTCCAGTGCAGCAAGAATAAAACTTCCGTTTAAGCTTTTAAGCCGGTACTACGCAAACACTGATGGGCACGGGGTCTATATAGATCGTCTTGTTTCGTACAGGCAGATCATTGACTATGAAGAGGTTTATCTTGCCATTGTTTCTGCATTTGGTACATTTCATTTGCTTCTGCTTTCTTTTTAGGTTCTTTCCTGCCGCTGCCGAATGTATATTATGGTTTGCTTGCACTTTTTTACCTACTTGAAATTCTATTTTGAGATTATTTGGCTTCCTCTATTAATGTATAAATATGTCTTATTTCTTTCATGTTCTTGGACACAGATCATCTTCCAATCTTTTTTAGACTCCATATATTCTTGAAGGCCTATTGTTGCGGTTTTGTAAGACCGTTCTAGTTGACTTAATCATCTGCCTCCTTCGGATCTGGGCACTTACAGATGATGAAGATCATCCTTATGATTATGCATGCGGTGACATATTAGAGGCTATCTGTGTAAATGGGTTTGGGTGATGTTCATACCAGTTTCTTGCAGTTTTCATCCCGTAAAAGTTTCATATATTGGCCCACTCTATACTGTCGGGTTTTATGTTCAATGGCTAACAACACGCTGCTCACTGATACAAGATGGTCAGTTGTTTCTTGATATTCATCATAGAATCTGCATTTCAGGTTAACACAATTTTTTCAATATGTGTGCCTGGTAATTTCGAGTTTGCAAGCATTGGTCCGGTGCAGCAAGAATAAGATATTATTATCATTATTATTATTATTATTATTATTATTTGGTCGTTCATATTCATTTAATTGGGTACCGGAAAATATTAATTAACTGAAGTATTAAAAAGCTACTTTTTCTTTCCTTCTTTTACAGTAACTAAACAAAATTTGCTATGTTATTAAAAATGACTTAATATTTACATTATTGTTGACATTTATGTCATTAAATTTTTCTCCCTATTTTTCGTTATTTATTCTTTCTTATTTTTGTTAGCTTTTTTTTTTTTAATGAAATTGCAGTCTATTTTTGTTTCTCTCTAATTTTCAAGCTGGTAATTTATTTCTCTTCTCTCATATCTCGAAATTCCTTCCTAGCAATTTTGAAGAAATTTTGCTTTAAGTGATATGACTCTTCCCT